CAACCCGATGCTTGGATTATATGCAGCACCATGGAAAATACGCGGTTATATAGAGAACAATTTTGGTCTATATAACTTTTTCAAGATCCAACTTATTGGCACATATTTTCGGACCGAAGGCAACATAACCATAACGACATCATTATCGACACCGTGTTGGCTTTCAACAAAGAAAAGTAATAAAAATACCATCAAAAAGATGCGGAAATAGACGCACTACGGTGGTCAGTTGAGGGAACGTGTTATGGTAACAATTCAAATTACCATGACCAACTCAAACAACCGTCATGTGGGTGAAGTGACATGTGCGGCCGCTACCACAGACTCTCCCAAGTAGTCATACCCCGCCAAGCCCACCTTCACCTTCAAGGTAAGTTAATTCGTACCACAAAACACGCATCAAGAGAGAAGCATTCCCGACTACGGAGCGACCATACTGTAAATGAGCTGATCAATGCCGAGCGCTTTCCCATTGCCCTTTCTCTATGCGTGGGCTTTGTGAAACACATACAACCATTTTTACAATCATTGTCGAACACGATCGGCTTACTCGACATGAAAAGGTAAACAGGAATTACAACCAACATTTCGTCTGGGCGCGTTGGTCTTCTGATACGCAGAAGAAGAATCTTCTCAACCGTGTTGAATAAAACTGTGCTAGTTGAATTTTTCACCAATAAGCGCTCTATCGACGTTCTCAACGCATAGCTTGGACAAAAATACAACAGCAGGCCCTTAGGTGCAGAACCGCTACTTCTTTGAAAAGTACACAAGTGTGCAAGGATAGCATGGAGGAGAAGGGACACTCCTCTCCATGGAGGAATAGCATAATGCCAAATCTGGACCAAAATTAGCCTTGTCACTTGCGAGTGTACATATCGAAGAAAACTTATATTCAAAACGTGGTTAACTCCAAAAAAGACCACCGAGCCGGAGCATCAGACTGTACAGCTACAAAGTAAACTGGTGAAAGAAAAAATACCTCGTGATGGTGAGCATCAGCCTTCCCTTTGTGATACATGATGCGATGACGAGGCTTGACTGAAAATCACGACCACTGTACAGAATAGGGAAACAACCAAAACAAAAAAAGCACGAAATGACTTAAGGGGAGCCAATGAATTTGCCTTTGAGATGTTCTAAAGATATGTACAAGGAGCTTCTACAAAAATCATAAAGGCTAAAAAAGGCGTTCTCCAAAGCAACGTGTTCTGTAATGTCCACATCGCGAAGTTTGATCTTACAACGATCAGATTGAATAACGACTAAGTTCGAGTAAAGCGACCTCCTTACACGATAGTTCTACAAGGGTTAAAGGAGACGTGGTGGTGCTCAGTGGTACGCCAGTGGCGAAAAAAGCAGAAAAATCCGTCAAAAAACGCAAAACGGGACCCCCTTTTTTGGCCGTGGTTTTCACTCATGAACAGGTAACAGCTCAGAAAGCCAACCTATAAACGACTTTACCGCAACGCAAGCCAAACCACGCTCCGGTCGAACTGCTCCATTATGTCGCTGCTGGCAACGCAGCTCGTCCAAATCACCTAATAAACTAGTGGGCGGATCGCTATTGGGATGGAGAGCTTTCGAAGGCTTATTCAACAACCAGCGCACATTTTCTCGTGAAAGCGCCACACTTTCCTCCATGGAAGCAAAGTAACTGCTTCATGTGGGGCAGCATGCCGTTCGCTATTTCGCCTCATCGCAACGCTTCTTATGTTGACTTTCCACTCCGAGAGTAAAGAGATAGGCTGGTGTAGAACGGGAATGTGAGGGAAAGGGAAAGGTGGATGAGATGCAACTTGTACATCATCAGTACCAGATCCAAACTTAACCCCTGTCTCCATAACAATGTCACATTTAGCGTCCTACTCTTACCACATCTTCGATTCTTGGCGACAAACTTCTTGAAAAGCGCCTATACCCTGGGCGAAACGCGAATTTAGGGAGGGTTCCAATCACGCCAGCGCTGCTCTTTTCAACTTTTACAGATTTAGGATGGAAACGGTGAGAAATAGGAAATGGAAGTCCCCAGAACCCTGAAGAACTTTCTGGTCAACTCATTAAAAGATCACATTGCAAGGCACTACTCTTCAAGCAAGCACACTACCTATTCCCAACTGTTATAAAATTTATAACTTCCGCACCACATTGAATGACTAAGAAGAAAGAGATAAGCGAAAATCGAAAATAAAACGTACGTAGCAAACCAAAGGAAAAAATGAAAGATGTAAAAATTAAAATGCAAAACTTCACTCACTTGGCACTACGAACTTGAAAATTGCGAAAACAATGACCCCAGAATAGATGTAGAAGCGGAATACTGGTAGATATTTCCAGCAATGGCGCCACGACCACATGCGCAACTAAAATAGCAGACGGGCAAATAGTGTCTCGGTAAACGATTAAAATTATTTTCACCGTTTTGTCTCCAGGTTAGAGTTGTCTCATATATTTTGTTTATTTCCAAAAAAAGGTTTTGCAAAGTCTACAACTGAACCCCGAAGATGAAAGAGATCAAACAGTAGCCTTACGTATTCTTGAGCAGTCCAGGGCCGTGCGGGCATTCGCGGGTGGAGGTCCTGTTTTAGGGATGGGATCCTTCGTATTTGCAACGGCCTTCACTGCTCCAACAGCAGTTTCAGCTGTCCATTTGGCGACTTCGAATACCTTCGCCACCACCATGACTACCTGAAATAAGCAAGAAATAGAAGTCACTCCAACGTAAGTTGTCAGCTGATGCCTCGCAAAGAAATTGAGAGCCGTTGTCAAGAACGCCTTATTAAAAATTACCTTGAAAAGTCTAGTTACATAGAAACGATTGTCTTCTATGAAAAGGAGAATCATCACTTCTCACATATATTAAGGACATAATTTATGAAACAATATTGTAAGTTACAAACTAGATTAAATGCATTGAAGTATGCAAGAGCAATGTTCTCATGACAGAAAAAGAAATGGCCACCTCCAAATTGTGGACAACTGTCACAAATTATATTCTGCGGCATGCTACTGATTCAGTAAAAGTATTTATCTCATGATTATAAGCAGAGGTAATGTCCGGTTCAAAAACTAAGACAAAAAATCTGCTGAATCACTACCCCAGATCAAGAACAATGGTATTTCGAGGACACTGGAAAGCACTGCGGAATGAATCTCCACAAAGCCGCTATAACACCAAGACTAGGACAAAATACTTTTCGTCCACGTGAACAATCTGGTAAGTACAAACGAAAGCTTATGTTTAGATTCATGGAAAAAGTAGGAGTCGCTTTTCCAGCCCCAACAAAATGAAACACCGCTAGGCCACGCCCCTTGGACCAGTTGTCCCCTGCAGGAAAACTGCGCCGCGCGAGACGAGACTGGAGAAATCCAGCCGGGAGTAGTTTGTCTAACTTCAGCTGCTCCCTTCAAACTTTG